TAGGGGAGTGTGAGTTTGCTGTTTTGGGGGAAGATATATTCAGTGCAGAAGGGGTTATGATGATGGGTGGGTTTTTGTGTTTTGTTAATTCTTTTGTTTGTTGGAAGAAGAATGGGATATATTGTGGATGGTTGAGGTTCTGCAGAGTGGGTTTTGGGAAATATCTGGTGTAGAATTCATGACTGTTTGTTTGTTTGTCCACAAATTTTCTAGGGTTTAGTGTTGGACCAACAAGTCTGAATTTTGGGGTTCATACTATGCATTAAGACTGCATGTAAGCTATTTTTTAGGGTGATTAATTGGAGATTATGAACATCAGTCCTTAGACTTCATTAACTTTTACAAATGTCTCTTCTTTCAAGTGCTGGTCCTTATTACTGTCAGTTTAAAATATTTTTTTCAAGTCTTATGAGTGAGTTGAGTTCAAAAGAAATTTTCTAAAGTCAAATTTTTACTTCTTTTTATTTATTGATTATGAAAAGTTATATTTACTCTAAAAAATAAGCATGTGCTCTCACATGATTAAATTTAACAGAAAATTAGACGGTGTGACGAATTTACCGGATAATAAAGAGTTGATGGACCATTTGAGAGAATAATTTAGTTAACACACCAAAATATAAATCGTGCATATTAGATCAATAGTTTAAAAGAGCCACATTATCTTGCTTTTTTTAGATATAAATAAAAAAGAAAATTAAAAGGCCCACAATCCTTGGACTTTCTCCAAAAAAGACCCAAGGCAAAGGTCTTGTCTGCCAACCCCTAAAACCTTAAAGGTTCAACCCAAATTGCTTGTTAGTTGGGTTGCTCGACTTAAATGGGACTCCATGGGCTCACTTTTGTGTGGACTGTCTTCTCAAACCAAAGACAAAAAATAAGGCCTAGTTACCCAGATGGGCTAGCAGTTGCATGAGCCCAAAATCTCTCTCTCTCGCTCTTCCACCCCCATTGATGAGAAGGAGAGTGGGAAAAGAGTAGAAGGTTATGGAGCAGACGGGGAAGGAAGCGACAAGGGAAGCATCAGAACAGGTATCAAATGAATTCAAAACACTGGTTGATGCTCAGGACTTGGATTCACTCAAACAATTGCAGCACCTCATGTATTCTCTCTCTCTTTCTCTCTCTCTCTCTCTCTCTCCGCTGACTGAGCAATTTTTAATTCTTGTTTACTGTTATTTATTTATTTTCAATTTAATGGGTTGTTGAATGAAGAAATTTTGTTATGTTTGATTCTAGTTTCCGTTCTGTTCTGTTGCTCAATTGGGTTTCTGTGAAATGCTGTTGAAGAGTTATAAGAGAAAGGAAGAAACTTGATTAACATCTGTGGTTTGCAGTGTTCGAAAAATCTGCCTAGGCGGCCTCGGCGGGTCGGGTCCTTTTTTAAAGAAAAGCCTAGGTGCCCGCCTAGGCCTCGATTACTCCTCTAGGCCCCTGCCTGCCGCCTGCCTACTGCCTAGCGATTTTTCGAACATTGGTGGTTTGGAATAGCCGTTTCTAAGATTTTATTTTACTGAGAAGGAAATAAAATCATGGGAATTGTTCTATTTACTGTTTAATGGGGAGAAAAAAAATATATCACTCAGCCATCTATTGATGCTAGGCATGTATTTTCTTTCAATACATTGTTTTAGTTTGGTGTAATGTTAGATGATGTAAAAGCTGAACACTCAAAGGTTGAATTTTGCATCTGTTTTGCTCTTGAGGATCTCTGTGAAAAATGATAACAGATTACAATGCAATGAAGTGTATGGAAATTTCGGTGGGGATACAGTTGACATAAGAAGTCAGGAAATTTTGGTTTTTCTACCTACCTGTTTGTGTTAAATCTAAATGTGACCTTAAATGCCTCAATTCTGAGGTTGACCTATGGTGCAAAGGTAGTAAAAGCTAATGTTTATTGCAAAATTCTGCGTATAATTCTTCATTAAGATTTTACACATCTTGATTGAGGAGTGCAGTTGAACTAGGGCAGATACATCAGCTTACATTTACCTGTAACTTCTTAGATATCGAAAAGAAAAATGTAAAAGTAAATGAAAATAAGCGGAGTTCTTCTTGAAACTTATACTGAACGGATATTGAAGTGGTGGTCGTTGTTGTCATTGGTTACTTACTTGCCTGGCATTTGATTTCTGTATTTATTTTCTGCTATACATTTTGCCCTTTCTCAAGTGCAGATTGGGGAGATTGCAAGATGGCAATGCAGTCCTGTCACATTTTAATGAGTTTTCAGAGAACTGCTTTGCTGAGGTTGCTGGAGATTTCTCTAGACACACACGCCTATTAAGGTCTATGAAGTCTGATCTTGAATACATATTTCAGAAGTTGAGGTATGATAATTGCTTTCTTTTAGTTCTGTTTTGATTATTTGAAGTGCTGACTGAATTTTTTTGTCATTGCTATCTTACTACACTGTTGTTGCTTCGGGGTCGTTGGATTGTAATCGATCTGAAGATTTTTTTTATGCACTTGTATCAATTTATAGTGGTATTTACAAAGTTCACGCTAATAAAAAGAATTGTTTACATTGTAGTAATCTATATGTAGTACATGTTCAAGGGGATGTATTTGTCACTCCTGCTTTCTGCAGTTCACTTGAGAAATTTAAGATAATTTCTTTTCAAGAAAGATCAAAGTCACACATAGGAAAAGAACAATCCAGGCTCAGCCCTGTAGTCCAAAATGGGTCGGTGTTGGTCCTAGCGAGTTCGTCTGTGGTTTGTTTGACATTATTGGTGTGGTCAAATGTTCAGATTCGTGTTCACTATCTAGGATAAGCTAAATATTTCGTACTTCTGTTCTTTGATACAGATATCATGGATAAGCTTTGAATATCTATGCATGTAGCCAATTATTGTTTGTCATATTTGCCATTCAGGTGCATATACGAGAATCATTCCACTAGATAGAAACCGCACTAGATAGACGATAGTAATCAATGTGTGACAACTGGTTTTTGCTAAACCAACTTGATAACTTGAAAGCTTACACCATTTCTATAAATTTATCCATCAGAGACTGACTTTCAAGTTGGGATGCCTTAACTTCCAGTTGATGCCTGCGTAACTATAGTGATGATCAGGAAGTGCACGTTTTATGCTAATATCATATGTAGTTGAGTTCTTGTTATATTCTGCGATACATTTTGACAATATTGATAACAGGAGCATGAAGTCCAGAATTTTGGCTACCTATCCAGATGCATTTTCCGATGACTCAAAACAAGAAGTACTCGACCAGAGACCGGACCTTGAAATGCCGCGGTAGCACCGAGACTACGTCACACTTTGCTAATGGAAGTGTTCCGAGATTAAGCGTGTCAGCAGCCATGTGTTAGATCTCCAGAAATTATCTTTCCATTTGTTCTAGCTTACAGAGCTTCTTTTTCTTTCTTTTTTTAACCCGACAAGTATATGGATATATGCATATAGTCACAATTTCGACCTTCTAACTTGTAAGTATTATTTAATTTTAAATTTCAGGAAACATGATGTGTCCTTGCTACATTCTACTACTAGTTTTGCTCTGTATTATGCATGTCTTACTTTTTTATATATATAAATTTATTACAAAAGTTGAAGGAAAAAAAAAAACAGCTTCTTCGCCCCTGCTGGTTTATGGTTTGCTTGGCTCCGTCTGAGTCTCTTATGTGTTCCTGAGCTATATATGCTGAGCCGCTACCCCCGCCCCGGGGCCCGCCATGTCGCGTTCCTATGGAACTGCCTCAGAAGTGCGTGAGAACAACACCCCCTCTGCCCTCTCTATGTGCGTGAAGCCGAAACATGCATTTGTAACTCTCAACTCTCTCTATCTTTCTCACACATGTCACGGTGTCATGCAGAAAGAGATAAAACACAGAGCGCATGCAGATCGCAGAATCATCCCAGCCGTCCAATCCAACCTGCGTGGCTCTGTTTACCCGTACCGTCCGATGCTCCTCAACTACTCCACCATTCGACAGAACACTCTCAAGAACCAAGCTCACACTTTTAACTTTCATCATTATTAACAATTGATTGGGATTTGAGAGAGAGACAGAGACAAAGAGAGCATCAGGAAGTGAAGGAAATGGCGGGAACACATGGGAGGAGCGAGAGCGAGAAAGAGAAGACGAAGATGAGGGAGAGGCAGAGGAGGGCCATCACCACCAAAATCTTCCACGGCCTCCGCAAGCACGGCGGCTACCGTCTCTCCTCCCGCGCCGACATCAACGAGGTCCTCCGCCATCTCGCCTCCGAGGCCGGCTGGCTCGTCGAACCTGACGGCACCACCTACCGCCGCCGCTCCCCCAATGTACGCACGCTACCTCCCTCTTTCCTTTCCGTTTCTTTCCTGCATTTTCTCACCAACCAAACACACATTTTGTTTTATTCTATTCACTTGGTTGTTGTTTGTGGAGGGAAGGTTTCGAATTGCTGTTCGGTCTGCGGTGGGGTCCCCAAAGCCAGCGCCACGTCGGCAGCAGCAGCAGCGGCAGCAACGCCGAGCAGTAGCATGGGGATGGGCTGCTGTGAGAGTTCGACCACAGCCTCTCCAACTTCAAGCAGACTGCCTGCCTTCAACAATAACACCAGCGGCACCACAGACACCAACAACAACAGTGTGAGCGTTTACTCGGCTATGTACGTGTACGAAGGTGGGCTCCACAACCACCAGCTGCATGAAGCCAGGGCTTCCAACAACACCTCCCCCTCCCACTGCCCTTAGAACAAAACTCTCTTCTTTATTTCCCGTTTTGCCCCTCCCACCGCCACCCTCACCGTTCAATCGCAGCAGGCTCTCTTATATATTAATAATATATTACAATAGTTAATCAGATGTAGAATATATAATGGAAAACTTAAACGGGGGGGTGTGTGAGGTGTGAGGTGTGCGGTTATGTAGTTGTATGCTGCGGTGAAAAACCCCATTTTGTGCAATCAGATTTTGTTCCACCCTACGAATACGAAAATAAAGTAATTTGTTTTGTGTAAAACAATCAAAAACCTGAAGCCACAGGAAATTGGAACCAAGCAACAACATTTTACAAGACTTTGCAACTACTGTATGTTTGTTACAGTTGTTTACCGTCGCAGTTACATCAACTTCACCCACCCGACCACAAAAAGTAAAGCTACTCCCAAGTTTGAATGCCCACTATTACCTGCTATATTACTAGCTAGCAGCTCGAATGGCAATGCGAAATCATCCCAACCTCATCTCTCCCTTATCTTTCTCGGTAAACTCTACAAATGTGGGAAAATCAACTTGCATTTGATGCCCTGTGATTCAAGTGAACCCGGGAATTTCTCCTGGCATTGGAGCCAGCTCATTGTTGCCAAACCTCTCCTCGTCATAGAACGAGGCGCGAACCACCCTACCTCCAAAGTATCGACCGTCAAGGTCAACCAATGCCTTAGTCGTTTCTTCAGACCTCTCAAACTGCACAAAGATTCTGACTGCCTCATCCACCGGGAAATTTGGCTCTGTTATCTCAAATATAAGCACCCGGGTCACTGTCCCATACTTTGCACACTCTGATGCTACCTCATCTTCTAACTCATCATCCACCTCGCCAGGGCCCACCTTCAACAATAAAGCACATCAGCTTGAATTTGTGTTACAAAACCAAACCTAGGCTTGATATGAACACGAAATCAATATAATAATATCGGTCATAGAATTAACTTGAAGAAAACCGACTCTTTCTTCATGTTAAATAGTCACTAGTTAAGTTTGTGTTCACTAATCCACTGCCTTTCCTATTGTGACATTTTCATTACAAAAAAACATAGATAAAGTTCCTTCAATACGTTCATTAGCTTCCCAAAGATCGAAACATATAAGTACTAAACCGATTTCAGTAGTTGAGATTAAAGTTAAGGTGAGACTAGGCCTTACATTGTGAAAAGATTAATAATACAGATAAGAAAATTGGGCTTAGGTACAAAAGCCCGAGCACCACAATGAGTAGAACCTTTAAGACAATTTCAAGCCATGCCAGATGATAAAAGACCTAAGAGGACTTATGGCTTCGTTTAAATGGAAAAGATTAACAGGGTTATAGCATTACTTCTAACTACCGTGCTATGTTATGCCGTTTCACAAACCATCAACCCCTTGAACAATGATACGTAGAATACACGGGCAAGATATACAGGAAAGAAATGCAACCCCTGTAGAGTTTATAGACTTAAACCTGGTAGTCTACTAAGTTACCTCAATAATGCACTCAAATCAGTCTATTGAAGGCCTGAAGAGCTTCAAGGTAAACAGCAAATGTTTTCTATGTAAAACTGGGTAGTATATTAGCTAATATGTTTTAAGCACAAAATTCTATGTGAAAATTATGAAAATATTGTGTATTATGTATTAGATACAAGCACATTTTCATAAAGACCCTTTGAACAAAATCAGGCTTCATTAGCCTTAAAGTATTTTCTTAGAAGTCTCCCTAAGAAATTCTTATATATTGTTCTGTTCTTCGTTTCTAGAAACATGCTTATTTATTATTCAGTGAAGAACAATATGGACCATCTTTCATGCTTCCAATGAAGCCTCATTCATTAATCTTACAAACAAATCACAACTATCCATGTCTTACAGAAGCAAAACCCTTACAATCTACCATGTCATTTTGATTGCCCTTACAAACCTTTGGTCTAAGACTCTAAATAAATGCCCTAAGCAATGCACCATTTCACATTGTCTTCCACCCAGTTAACTGTTTCTAAATGCAATGCCTCAAGTCCATGAAACTTATCAAATGGAAATTATTCTAACGTGACATCCTATCCTGTGAGGCCATCAATTTGTGGCTATGTCTAAGCAGTAAATTTATCTGTTTTAATGGTCAAATTTATCTCCCAACGGCCAAAAGCTAATTCGATTGGATAGTTTCTCAATCCAGCAATTAGCCATACATATTTTCCAAGTCATGGTTTATGCTTATTAAAGCATGCCACAAAATAGATATGGAAGAAACAGTTCTGCAAGCAAAATCAGAGGGCATTTGGAGAAAACAAAAGAGAAAAAAAGGGAGGGCAGGCTGAAGAAAGCAATAAACAATGTGTTAGCCAACTCTCCTGGAAACTATTAATTATTTAGTCCTACTGCAGAAACCAGGAAGCTCAACTAGGAAAAACAATCAACAAGATGTTAGCCGACTGTAGCACTCTAAATGAACCTCCTAAACAATACATTCACAACACAGGTAGAAGGCGGCAAGCACTACATAACACATAGCATGAAAATTACGTCTGAGTTTTGTGATAAAGAAAAGACATTTACAACAAGAAACTGCATAGAATTAATTGAAATTGTCTCAAAATCATGATCTATCAAAGTCAAGGTATAAAAGAAATGTTTGCGTGACACAACAACCAGACATCTTGTGTTCCAAAAACAGAACTTTTTTTATTCATATCAAAGAAAAAAAGGGCCATTCAGACCAAACAAACAGAAAGAAAAAAATAGCCATTTCTTACGCCATCCATTTTACAACTTGCTCAAATAAAGATGGTGACTTTGTAAAAATAACAATGAACATAACACTGATCCCATTGAAATATGAACAACCCTTTCAACTTAGTTTTTATTTATACTCCTTGGATGATCGTCCTGTTCCAGGCTAATGGATAGTCAAATAAGAAACAGCAAGACTTGACATGTTCAACCTAATATAACACTAATGCAACCGAAGGTTATAAAAAGCATAGAATAGGACATGCTCAGAGTATCACAAATAATTGAACCATTTCAATCTCCTCTAAGTAGCACTTCTTAAAAAAGGATCTTATGAGATCCACCTTGAATTTCAAATGATTAGAAATCACATTCTGTATCATCATCCCTCTAAAGAACAAAATGGAATGGCTGAACTTTCAAGTAGTATATATACACCACACCATTGTGCATTTGCATGCATAGAGCATCAATAAGCATGAGAAAGTCAAGCACACACATACCATGTTTCTAAGCAGCAAAACCCTGGTGGGTGGCCCATTAAGGCTGACACTCTTCGCCTTCTTCTCCGGCTTTGTTTCACTGGCATTCACAATCACCCCGGCTCTCCTATCCGTTTTCTTGGCCATCAAGGGAGTAGTGATCCCCTGCTCCTGCTTCCCAAGCCCTTGCCCCTGCTTCCACCCCATCTTCGCCATCATTCTCTGCGCCGCGGTCATTTGGCCGCCAGCCCCTAACCCCAACCCGCCACTCTCCGACTTCCCAATGGTAAAACCATCTCCATTATTCGGAGGAGACGGAGACCTTGGAATTGCCGGCATTGCTGGAACTGCCCCGCCGCTCATAGCCGCACGCCTCCTCCAGGCTTCCTCACCCGAAATGTTCAACCTTGAATCTCCAAAATCCCTCTCCCTTTCCCTTTCTCTTTCTCTCTCCTCCCTCTCTCTCCTCTCCTTCTCCTCCTCCTCTTGCCGCCTCCTATCGAGTTCTCGCCTCATCTCAGCCTCCACTGCCTTCTTCTTCCTCTCCCTCTTGTACTCCTCGTAGTCATTGGGCCTCGCCGGATCATACTCCTCTAGCACCGTCGACGTGACCCCCACCAGGGCAGTATGCACCATGTCATTTTGTATCACCGACGTTGCAATTACCGGTGATGCTGTAATTTTGGGCTGGGCTAAATTCGACGGCTTGGGCTTGTTTTGGGACTTGAGAATCGTCTGCGGTGGAGCGAAAACGGATGCGGGTTTTCGGAGAGTCTGCGGCGCCATTTTGGTGCTGCTCGACCACACCGTGGTGTTGCTGGGTTTCTCTTCCTCCGCCGAAGACGGTGGAGGGAGGTCTCCGTACAACCCACCCAGCATTTTAACGAGTACCCACTTCCTTTATTGCAGTTACAGAGCTCTGAAAACCCTAGAGAGAATTAAAAGCTTAAGGATTTATGTGAATTTGGGGATCTGGTAGGGAATTGGTAGATAATGTGAAAGGGGTTTTGGTGGAAACCAGTGGGATTAGGGTTTTAGGGTTCGGATTGTTAGCTTGATTAGAGATTGATTCGAATTGTGGAGCGAACAATTGAAAGAAGCGCGTGCCAACAATGAATGGCGGGTGCAGTTAGTGCAGCAATTGACTATGCTTCCCGTCTTCAGCATAGAACCAGTGAAGTTATTGGTTACAAAAACGTTGTTTTTTCTTTCCCTTTTGAGTATTATTGGGGCCGAAGGCCCAAAAAACGAAGTATTACATTATAAGGGCCCAAAATCTACATCAGACGAGACTTATCCTTAAACGTTAGAAATTCTTGTGTGATGATTATATCGACAACACTGGTGTTACGAATCCACTTATATATTAGATCTATGAAATATTAATAATGTAGCCCATTTATATAAAATGTGAATTTATAATTCCACGTAATAGTGTAACACACACCAAGTAATATTATGGCGTTTTTCAAATCTCCTTATTAATGATTCAATTTTCCTACTCTCAATTCTTTAAAATAATAATAATAACAAAGTCCTTATGTTGATGAAAGACCCCAACTATATCAAACATAAAACACTTTGGGCATGTAGAGACAAACACTCTCATTTTAAAGAGACCAATTATCCCCACAAAGTGACCAAATTAAGAGTTAAGCTTGAAATATCAATAGTAGTAAAGAAACAAATTTTTTTTTGGGCAAAGAAACAAAAAGTTAAAACAATATGAGTGATACCTTCAATCATGAAGCTCCACACACACAAACTGCCAAAAACTTCAATAATTAGCATTACAAAAGACTTCTAAATTTGTGTTATACACATTCAATCGATCATCTACATATATAAAGAAAAAGGCAGAGAATTGTAAAATATTCAAAATATCATAAAATGCCCTTGGTTAATGCAAACATTAAGAATTGAAATTATTAATTAAATATCTATATTTTTTTCTTTTTTTATAATGAGTGATAATATTTTATTGATAAGAAGAACAAAACAAGTACAAAGCCACTATGATGTCCAATATCGATAAATTTTCTTCAACAACTAAACACAACAAGAAATTGAATTAATCGGGATAGAATCTTTAAGTTATTGTCTGTAATCTTACTCAAATCATTAATAAAAACAAAGAAAAAATAAACCAAAACCAAAACCAAAACTAAATCAATAAATAATCCCAAAGCAAGTGGACAACAAGCCTCCAAGCCTCCAACTTTAAAGGAGAGCAACAAAAACAGAGCAAAAGAATGACATATTTTCCATGCCCAAATCTTAACCCAACAAAACAAACATTATAATATACAAATCCTTCCAGGCTATCACAAACTTCGAATAGCTATCCAAACAAATTGGTAGACTTTTTTGAAACCCAAAAAACAAAAACAAAACCATAGTATATATATAAAAACACGAAGAAAAGAAAAAATTATATTCGAGTCGAAGCCATATAATAATTCAACCCTTCTATAATTCCATTTCATCTCCAATATACACTCTCTCACACCCCCGCCCGCGATTGCAGGCCCTTGGGTTCTTCTTCTATCTCTCTGTGGCCCTCGATATAGATCCAATCGAATCCGCGTCTTCCAATTTTTAGGGTTTCGTAGCGAATGCTTGGATCATTTGGGTGTCTCCGGCGGTTCGGCGATTGGTGAATCCTCGGTTGGGGATTTTGTGACGGGGCGTTAGGGTTTGTTTCTCGGGGTTTCGCAGATCCAACTTCAGTTCGGCTAGCGGAGGCCCTTTTCGCTCCTCAATTCACCATGTTTTGGCGTATGGCGGGATTGTCCACTGCGTCTCCGGTGAGTTATACGACGGCGTTTCTTTTGTTTTCTCTTGTTTTTGCCATTGGGTGTGTGGCATAGTATGGGATTCTTTTTAACATATTTGGATTGAATATTGGGAAGGTTTTATTGATTTCTCTTAATTCTCTGTTTGGATTGAATATCGGTGAGATAATGTGGGATCAGAAATACAAGGTTGGAATGTTGGATCTCAGGAGGTATTGTTTTGTTGTGTCACTTGTGTCCCAACTCCAGGGGGATTGGCCATTGAATTTCACAGGAAGTTTTCTAGGTGTCAATTCTTCAAGAATGTATTGGATCCGAAATTTGGATCAGTGATTTAGTGATAACCGATTATTTTAATAGTACAAACTCTCTAATATGTCATTATGCAGCAGTTGCCATTAAGTGTGGAATAGGACAATATTTAATCTGCAATTTAATTTTACTGGGGGGGATTGAGGATTGCGTGAGGTTTAGAGGCCTTTTTAAAAACCTCCATGGTGCCCACTTTAGAGACTTTAACCATTTATGGATGGTGGTTTTGGAAGTGAGGTTTTTAAAATTAGGACATGATTATAGGCAGGCCTAAAGGGTCCTTGAAGTGTATGTTGTATTTAGTATTTTTTGCATGCTCTGGGTATAACATGTTTCACTTTTAACAGTTGCTAATGGGATTTTTTTTTTGGAAGTGTGAGTTGCAAAAGTAGGACTTGAATAAATGTAGCTTAAGACCTCTTGAAGCATCAGTTGTATCTGCTCTGAATTGCACCAGTATTATTCTCTTCTCTAGAGGGCTGGAGATGATCTCCAGCTGTCACCCAAGCTTGTTGTTAGTTTACTATTGACTTATTTCAGGTGGATGATACAAACAGCTTTCACTAATATGGAAGGCTAGTCCTTTGCTGTTTGTTTTTAGGCAAATTTTTTTTTTTGGTACTAATTTTATTTATGTTTCAGGTGGAGACAATTTTGGACAAGGACAATTTCACGTTGGAAGAGCTTCTTGATGAAGATGAAATTATTCAAGAATGCAAATCTCTCAATGGCCGTCTAATCAATTTGTAATGCTCCTTCCATTTCCACACTGCCTCTATCTTTTACCTTTAGTTCCTTTTGTCGACTATTTGCTTATTCATTGTGCTTCGTTGAGTGAGGTACTATTTTTATGCTTAGCGTCTTTTGGGGAGGGCTGCTTGTCATATAATTGTCCAAAATGATGTTATGTATTCTTATGTGCGGATGTGGCAACAGGTCAGTGGGTTTAAAGATGAAAGCAGAAATTGAATATTTCCTTCTCAGAGTTGTTTTTAAAATGATTTCTAATGATTTTGGGTTTATATATCTGGTACTGCTGTTGACAGACATGATGCCAATTCTTTGGCTTTCAATCTGTGATTTTGGCGTGAATTACTTAATTTCCATGCCTCAGTGGTTTGAAATGTTAACGTTGAAAGTGCACTTCTGTTTTCTTTTTCGATGTAGATGGAATGTATTTATTCTTTAAAATTTTGTTTCCATCCAATTGGGTATATGAGTGATTTAGTTTTGTCATAAGCCCTTTCCCAGGCCTGGAAAGATAAATTTGTCTTCAGAATATTTCTTTTATAGAATTTTTTTTTTCCCAGTTATTAGTTGCTTGTGTTCTTTATGTGCTTGAGCATATGCAAAACTCCTTTTTTTTGGTTACAATCTGAGAGACTCCTGTTCATTTTTCAAGATCAGTTTTTTCATTTGATTATTTGCGCTGCCCTGTATTACAGTCTGCGAGAAAGAGCCCAGGTTGAGCAGCTCATCCAATACATTGTTGAAGAAGCTCCTGAGGATGCTGAAAAGAGGCGAACTTTCAAGTAGGTTGCCTTGAGTATACATGCAAACACTAGCATTGATGCTTTTCTCTATCTGTGTGATTGATCTTGTTAATTTATTGTGTATACAGATTTCCTTTTATTGCATGTGAGATTTTTACTTGTGAAGTTGATATCATACTCAAAACGTTGGTAGAAGATGAGGAGGTTAGACACTCTTAACTATTCAATTTCACTGCCTCTGGTTGATAGTTCGAAAAATATACAGAATTCAACAATTGATTCACTTGGTTATGTCCTTCTTGGCAGTTGATGAACTTGTTGTTCTCCTTTTTGGAACCAAATAATTCCCACAGCACACTCTTGGCTGGGTACTTCAGCAAGGTATTGTTTTATTGAACTTCTAAATGTTATCTTCAGAGTTCGGCATGAAAGTAATTTTACTAATGTAAGATTATATATGTGTACTCGAGGTTTCCCCTCTTTTCCCCCCGTTTTTTTTTTCTTTAAAAATAAAAAATTGGGTGAAAAAATGTCAGTATTATATTGCCTGGGTTTTTACATTTCCTAATTTGTCCATCCTAGGTTGTTGTTTGCCTGCTGTTGCGCAAGGCGGTTCCTTTCCTGACCTATATTCAGGTAAGTCCATTATTTCTTTTTTGTTTCTGTTTGAAAATCCTTTTTGCTAAACTTAAATTATTATTATTATTATTATTATTATTATTATTATTATTTGGTGGCATGGCCCAGTAGGTGTCTTAAATGCACATTCTGTTGGATTGAAAGGGGAAATATAATGAAAATTTCAAATTATATGTGCCTATGTAAGAAGAATTGCAAATTCAAAAAGTGCTGCCTGTTGCTTGTAAATTCTGTTATTGGGTGTGCATGTCTTTATAACTGTGACATGCATGATTGATGAGCATGTTCTCCTCAATTGGGTTGAACCTAATGTGTCCCCGTTTTAAGGTGTGGGGAAGTGGTAGATGGTTATGAGTTTGGGATGTTCAAATTAACTCTCTGTGCCTGCTTTGACTTGATGGCATATATTCTACTTTGTTATCATTTAGTTTTAATATTTAATTTGCACTAATGCTTTGTTTATGAAGCGCAATATTTCATTACTAGTAGATGTTTGGTAGCATATGTTTTCTTGAATGCTAAAATATGACTATATTTTCATCGAATGCATTTACTTATGATGACGTATACTCTGATATTTTTATTTTAACTCTATATACTTACTGTTGCATTAAAGATTCTGTTTGAAGGAGATCTCTCTTTTAGCTTTCCATGAGTTATGTGCTTTCTAGAGTATTTTTTGGCTGATGTACTCTTCTTAACTGCACATCCAGGGTCATCAAGGAATTGTCAAGAAGCTAGTTGACCTGATTGGAATTACATCCATCATGGAGGTTGGTTATAGTTCACCTTTGTTCCTTTTTATATTGAGTTTCTGTAATTCGCTCTTCTCAGCTCTTACAACAGTAATTAGTGTCGTGAGTTTTTGTTTGTTTATCTTTTTTAATAAGAAGCATCTATGGCTTTTGATTATTACTCCTAACTTTAAGAGAAATATTT